TCTATCTCTATCTCTATCTCTATCTCTATCTCTATCTCTATCTCTATCTCTATCTATATCTCTCTCTCTCTGCCTCTCTCTACACTCTACCTCCATCTCCATAGATCCACCTTCACCTAGCGTCGACTTGTTCTACCAGGAAATGGGTGTTCCAATGAATACCAGAAACTGATATCATAAGTCAACAAATGGACATGAAAATATCTTATCTCTGACGATCTTTCATGTGTATCAAGAATATACACAAAGATGATAGATATACTGTTATTTATATATTTTTATTTACCGTAAAACATTTCCATTTCGCTTTCGCGGAATCTTTTTCTCCAGCTACCACTATCTCCCTCGTGCACCCACTCCCTTTCCCTGTCTCTCTCTATCTGCCTATTTCCCGAAATGAAAGCTGTAAAAATTTCCCTCATATTAATGTAAAGTCCCCAATCTGTGACATTGAATCTGACATGTGAAGCAACTGCGTTTCATAAAAACAAACCATGACGTATGTCAGATATACTAGAGATATACTAATAATATATCTTATTACATATGTACATATGTGGCTTACGAATGGATCGTGTCGAAAACAAAAGCATACTTGATAAGCCCAGACGCAGTAAGGGAAACAGAGCACAAAGCTCGGTTATGTTAGATCTGGGTACATTCATAAAATTCATTAAACTCATAGAAAGATATGGAAATTTGACATAGTATAGCCCAGCCAGACCGCGCTTAAGTATTATAATTAATTACAATTTCCTTAGGCTAGTGTCTGGGGCTAGATAAGCTTCATGTACGCATATGGAATAGAAAGAGAAAAACACTTGAATGCCGTTAAAGTCTGGAAATGAATACAAGTGAGCTCTGAGTTTTTTCGCAATAAGTTTTCAAATTAAACCAGATTATATACATTATAATGGAGCCTCGGCCTTCCAACTTCCAGTACTGATTTAGTCTACGAGAATTCTTGGGCTCAGTTTCAGAAAATTGCAGAACAATTGAAGTACAAACATGGTCATACAAATATTGATGCACATAATATATATTCTTATATATATATACATACATATATGTATATACATATATATATATAAGTATATCTCATTGTGTGGTCATGAAATTAGGTTGAATTCCTATTGCGCGTTCGTGAGTATTTTCAAAATTCCGAAAATGTTCTTTATGCACGTAGTCAAAAATCAATTGCTTTCAAGCCCATTTCAAAGATATTACCAAAATGGGCTTAGCTCAAATATGAAACTAGAATCCGCTGTCCGAATGCTATAGGTGAGCGAAACAAGAAAAGAAAAGCTCACGGGAACTCCATGGATCCATATACTTGTGCTATATTCAATTACAATATCGTTATAGAAATTGTTTTCCTATTCTCCATATTCATATACCTAGTTTACCATATAATACCCTTACAAATAGCTTCACACTTCTCCGACTGTCTGAAGAGTGAAGAAACAACAAAAGCCAATATAGATAAAGATGTAGATAGAGTTATGGCAAAGCCCAGATAAGCCAGATAATAACATGTATATATGTATATGTGCATATATACAAACACAGCTTTGCAATACATGCGTTTTAGATATATGTATATCTATATAAATATATATATATATTGTTTATATTATGATTTTTATTACGTATAGCTGTTCATATATGTATAGGCATGTATAATCCAAGTTTTCTTTATTTTCTTTACACAATACTATATAGTTCTTGCTGTTCTGGTCGGTCGGTCGGTCTATCTGTCGGGATCTCTTGATATATAGAAACGTATATACACAGGAGAAATAATACACATATAGGCGCATTGTATATATCTATAATACTAAAATATACAGAGTTAATCACTAAGATAAGCGTCCGTCGTTTGGGTGTGTATGTCCGTCTGTGTCTGTGTGTGTGTGTGCTCTGTGTGTGTTGTGATAGCACAGTTATGTATGTACATATGTATATGAAGTCGCTGCCACAACTTTTATTAGCGCACCCAATTTCAACATCATCATTTGTCGGCGTCGACTCATAAGATACAAAAAAAAAAATAAAGTTTCTATATACATATATGTATATACACATTATATACTAAAAACCCGCCCGTAGTTCGTTCCACAGCAATGGAATCTTGCCTGGCGATAAGATAAGCGGCAAATTAATTACCTGTACTCACTTGCGCCCGCCCGCCCCGCCCACTTCTCTAACTCTAATATCTCGAACTCTCTCTACATCATAAAAAAAAAATTATTTATATATATATGTATGTATATATATGCCTACAATAGATATACTAAATTTAAACAACAAAAATAATACACAGCACACACACACACAAACAAACAAACACACACACACACACATACCATCTGCCCACTGTCCCCTACACAGCCCGCCCCTTGCTCAGCCCCCCATCCTACATTGTGTGTCTTTTAATCTTAATTGAGATTTCCTATAATTGTGACGCTGCCGTCGCTGCCATCGTTGCCGTCGTTGCTGCAGCGCTGCCTGCTGCTGCCTACCTTCTTAGTGCCATCGCCGAGCTGCGTGGCAGCCAAAAGCTCGCTCAGCTGACGCTCTCGCTCTTGCTCCTGCTGCTCCTCCTGCTGCTGCTGCTGCTTCTGCTGCTGCTGCTGCTGCTCGATGTCTATGTCCTCGTCGTCGCCGCCGCTCAGCTCGCCGCTGCTGCTGTGGCTCGACTTGCGGGCGAGTGCGACGCGAATGCCGTTCACAATGCACTCGCCGCCGTCCAGCGCCGAAATGGTGGAGCCGCAATAGTAGAGGTTGCTGCAGCTGCTCGCCGCACTCACATCCGACTGACTTTCATCCTTGGCGCCGCCGATGCTGCCGGCGGCAGCGGCACTCGCTTCCAGCGAGCAGCGACGCTGGCAGCGTGAGCGCTGCAGGCGAAAATACTCCATCTCCTCCATGCTGATGCCGCATGCGGTTATATCATCCGAATAGTCCGAGACGACCACCGAAGGCGTTCGCACGTAACGCACGCCCGGCATCCCGCCCAGCTCGCTGACGCAGCTTTGCGTGGACTCACGCCGTGAGCCGGGCGGCGCTGCCAGCGCCGCTACGACGCGCTCCTCCAGTAATACTTTTGTAGGCACGCCCCCACCGACGCCCGCGCCCATGCCGATGGCGGCGGTGGCGCTGGTCGGTGAGGTCAGCGGCGAGTCTGGCAGAGCTGTCGGCTCAGCCAGTGGCAGCAGAGCCGGTCGCAACGGCAAATCGGTAACTGTTAATGTCATGCGTCGCTGCGGCGACGGCAGCGTCTCCATATTGACGTCGTCCACTTCCAGGCCCAGCGCCGAGTCGCTGCTCGCGCAGCGCGTCACTTTCGGCTTACGCCGGGCAACGGCGTCGCACTCATTGTCACTGCTGCATGGACTGATGCCGCCCGCATTGCAGCCCTCGTCCGAGTTGGCAGCGCTGCTCGCAATCACAGCTGGCTTCAGCTGTCCCGGCGCCTCCGCTGCTGCTGGCTGCTGCACAATCATTGCCTGAAACTTTTCAATAAGCTGCTGTATGGGCGTCCTGGAACGAAAAGCTTCCGCTTCGATCTCTCTAACTGGAAGTCGCCGTTGTGGCTGTGGCTGCTGTTGTTGCGCTGTAAAAGCGTTAAGATCCTGGAAAAAAGCTGCGCGCAGTTGCGCCTTGTGCTCAGCGAGACAAAGCTGTCGTTCACATGGAATGTCTGTCTCTGTTATTGTTGTGCTCTCTTTCGGGAAAGCTTCCTCTTCTTCGTCTGTTGCTGTTGGTGCTGGTGCTTTTGCTTGGACTTGCGATTGTGCTTTCGGTGCTGCGACTGTTGTCTGTTCGAGGCGTGCGCAACGCTTCGCTGCTCTCAGATAACTAAAAGTCGTTGGCGCTGCCGTCGCGCATTTATTTTGAGCGTTAACCGTTGTCAGCGCCGTCAACGCTGATGTCGTTGCCGTTGCCGTTGCCGTTGCCGTTGTCGTTGCTCTTGTCGCTGATGCCGGCGTCGCAGTCATTATCTTGAGCATTGAATCGGTTTCGGGTTTGGTTTCGGTTTTAGTTTTGGTTTCGGTTACGATTTCAGTTTCGGACGCGGCGGCGGCGTCGGCGGCATTTTGTTGACCATCGCGGCGCGCACTCATCGCTGTCGACGTCAGCGTTAACGTCGCGTCGGCGTCGCGTGCGTTATAAACTCGAGCTTTCGATTTGAACGCGTCCGCGCAACTCAAATTCAAATGACACCTGCCGCTGCCGTCGCTTAACTGTCGCTCTGACTATAAACACGGTCTTCAACAGCGACGCCAACGGCGACAGCGACAGCAACAGCGACGGCAACTGCGACAGCGACAGCGTGACGCTGGTAATGATATTGCTGCGACTGCAGCTGCTGATGCTGTTGTTGCTGTTGTTGCTGCTGTTGCTGCTGCTGCTGCTGCTGTTGCTGCTCTTGATGTAGAAGGTGTTGCCACTGGCGCTGATGGTGTTTATCCCGTTCTATTGAATATTCGTACTTGCTCATTGCCCGCTTACACGACCGCCACCGCTGCGGCTATCAGTGACGCTGACTGCTTTGATGCGGCCGCTGCGGCTATCGCTGCTGCTGCTACGGCTACTGCTGCTGCTGCTGCTGCTGCTGCTGCTACTGTTATTGCTGGCTGCAATTGTAAGCAGAATTGGAATTGAAATTGGAATTGGAATTGGAATTGTGTGTGATCTTGAAACGTTGACGCAATGTGCAATGATCCCGCACACATACAAACACACACAAACAAACAAATACACGCACACACTTATTGCTGCTTATTTATTTATTTATACTCGTATTTCGTTTTTGTTGCTGCGCTCCAATTGCTTTGCTAGTTTTCTTAACTTGAGCGCGTAATTGCATTTAAGCACAAAAAAGCACACACACACATACACAACACACACACACAGAGTGAGAGAGAGAGGGAGACACAGACAAGGAGACGCATACATACACAGCGACTGACAGACTGACAGACGTCGCGTTCTCATATGCTGACGCACAGTGGATCACGCTCTTGGTTCGCAGCTCATATAATTTTACATCATTCTCGCGCAGCATTAATTAACGAAATTCGCCAATTGACGTATGAAATGTGACTCAAACATCATTCTATAACAGAAACAATGAGTTTTAGTAGCGAAAAATAGAAAACTTCAGCTGACGCAAATCACATATATTACGAGCTGCGCTAAAATGAAACATCTAATATATGTACATATGTATGTGTATATTTTTAGAATTTGTTGCACAACGATCACAAAATGACTGGAGGAAATGATTTTTGTACTTATTATCTATTGATACATAGAGCCATATAATATTATCAACAACTGAGACGTCATTATCTAAGTTTGTCTCGACTTTTTATCTACCGTCAAAATTGAAAGTCATCTATTTAGCACTCTTTGTGGTTGGCAAAGCTATTCGCATTTAACTGCTGTTTAATGATGAGTTCAGTCCTTGGCTATGGCTGTGGATGAGATGGTGCGAAAGAAAGCGTTTGCGAATGAGCGCAATCGGGGCGACAATCGCATTGACAATGATCGATAACATGTGGTAAATGGAGAGGTAATGTCATCTCAATATCAATTTCACCAGCGATTCGCGAGCGGTGGCCCATTGTGATTCGTTGCGCACTTTGTTCGCGCCGTGCTGGCTATGACGTCAGTGGCAGGGGCCGCGGACGTCGCGACGTCGACGGCGGCGTGACGCGTAATTATTTGTCAGACGCAGACGCAGCCGCGGCCAGCGACCAGCGACCAGCGACCAGCGACCAGTATCTAGCGACGAGGCAGATTGACGACAGAAGGAACAAGAATAATAGAGAGAGGGAGAGAGAGTGGGAAGAGAAAAAAGGGCGCCAAAATATGACAGAGTGTGTGTATGTGTGTTAGAGAGTTTGAGTGTGAGTGTGCAAACACTCCCGATCAGTCATGAAACCTGTGGGCGGCATCGGCAGCGACGCATGCTTGACTGCTAAAGTGCCGCCCCATCAAGCGGCATAAATAACAAATAACGAAAATGAAGAGACAACAGCAAACAGAACAAGCAAAGTGCAATTTTTGACAAGACGCTGACGTCGCCGCTGACGCTGATGTGACGCCGATTGCCACCGTCCCGTTGTCTCGTTGCGAAATGGAAACCACTTTAGGCAACACACCTGCGATAGACGCCGAACTGTATGTATTGGCAATTATGTATGTATGCGTATTTCTCTGTGTGTGGTGTGTGTGTGTGTTTGTATTTGTGTTTCGCTTGAACGGCGAATTGCATTACGTCAATGTAATTGACGAAATGGCTAACACTAAGAAAACTGAAGGATAACATAAGCGCGCTCTTATAATCAGTCTAACAGCCTCTCTCTCTCTCTCTCTCTCTCTCTCTTTTTTTCTCGCTCTTATACTCTGCTGCTGGCCCAGTAACCGATTGAAGTCAACTTTCAATGAATCGCTTCCACAATGAATGCTGTTGAGAGGGAGGGCGCGTACAATGAATGTACACATGTACATATTCATGCGAGCATGCGTGTACTTGTGTATATGTATTCATTTATGCATAAGTGTGTACATCTATTTCACACTTTAGCCTTAGCTTTATGTTTATTGCACACGAAAATGGCCAGAGCAAGCGTTTGACGCGCACACGCACGCGCACATTGTACGCTCTGCGTTTATCGTTGCCAGGGCTGGCGCGCTCCCTTGCTCGCTCGCTCGCTCCTAAGCAAATTGGGCTTTAGCAAATACGGCAGCCATATAAATACCACTTGCGAATTGTAACTACATATGTATGTATGTATGTATGTATATATTTGTGGTTTATATCAAGTGTGTAGTTGCTTACTATGTTTGACAGGCAATTAATGTGAACTTAAATTGTTTGCGGTTGCGGTACGAGCCGGGTTGTGCAACTGCTGCAGCAGCCCTGGCTGTTGCATTCATTGCATTTTCCCATGCGCTGACATTGATCAATTGCAAACACTTTAAAGCCTGTCTCTGCCTCTGCTTCTGTCGCTGTCGCTGGTGCTGCCACTGTATGTGTGTGTGCTTGTGTATGTGTATGTGTTTAGATATTGAATTTAGCAGCTGTTTAAAACACATGCAAATTACATTTTAACTCTTTTAGCTATTTGGCTCGCAGCTTTTTCTTTTGCGTTTTTGCCGTTTCGTTTCGATTGCTTTTCTTCGTTGTTGTTGTTATTTAGTTTTATTTATTTTTTGTATGCACATATGTATACATATACATTTTTTTCGTTTTTGTAACGGTCGGCAACACGTTTGACGCGTACGTTGACGAGCGAGCGAGCGTGCGGACAAGAGAACGCGGCGACGTTGGCGGCGCTTGCTTCGCGTTTCACTGTGCGCAAGCAACTGTTTTCTTTTTTTCTTTTTTTTTATTTATTTATTTTGTTTCGTTCCGACTTAAGCTCAAACAGACTCAAATTCTCACACATCGGCTTAGCGGGCCACGCGGGGCCTGAGGCGTGGTTCATTGGAGGCTTGCCCGGTGTTTAAGCTGCTCTGCTCTGCTCTGCTCTGCTCAGCTCAGCTCTGCCCGACTCGACTCGACTTAGCTCTGCTTCTGCTCTGCGCCGCTAGCTAATAAACTAGGCTAGCTTCTGTGGCCGATGCACAAATACTAGCGCATGCATATAAATATAATTTAAAGCACACACACACACACACACACATACATACATACATAGATTCACGCGTGTTCATTTTATTTATTTTGGGCGCGCATTTTAGCTAGTTAAATATTAATTTTAATTCATTGAACGCACACTTCGCACTCTTCTGTCAATTGCCTATTTTTATACATAAACACAAGTGCATACATACAAATTTATATGGCTGTGTGTGTGTAATTGTGTATTGTTTGCCTTTTCTATTTGCTTTAACGCTCGTTTTCGCATGCTACTGTTAAATTTAACATTTTTTCTTTTCCCTGCTCTCGTTAGCATCTCCCGTTAAACTAGCTGTCAAATATTTAACAACCAGAATGGCCGTCATAGGCCGAAGATCATTTTGCTAAAGATTTGCCCGCTTACAGGCGCAAGCAGCATTGCCAGTCTTACATACGAAAAAGCATTGCCAGCTTACAGGCCAAGCGTAGCCGGCTTTAGGGCGCAATTCAGCATTTTTGCCACTGAGAGGCTATGTTCGGATGGATTACTAGGATTCTTAATTTCGAGTTCCACAAAAGTAAGGCTCCATCTGGAGGGTTGTAACCGAAATGTAAGGAATATAAGAGAAGAGAGACAACTATAGGAAGGAAACTACGAATATAGCTGGCTTGTTGAAAATTCGATGTTCCATAGAGACTTACAGATTGAAACTCTCATGGAACTTATTCAGCAACACAGTTTCAGGTATGCGAATAAACTCTCAGCGTATTCAAATCACCTAGCACATAATCTGAATATTAGCAACAGAAGATTACAAGATTACATACATCCTCTGCATCTTCGGGAAATCAGATAAACGTAAAAGATTTTACAACAGTAGTAATAAAGAAAATCTAGATCTAAGATTATTACAGCACTAAGATAATAAGAGCATCAAGTCTCAGAATAAAGCAGAGCTTAATAAAATAATAACAAAATAAAATTTATATATACATATAAAAAAAATATTTATTCAAAAATATTTTAACACATTTTGAAATATTTCTTTCACAAGTACTTAATTATAGTTATTTAAAACAAAAATAAAATTAATATTCACTGTACACATCAAAAATCTTCCAAAATATTTTTTGATGTGCAATTTCTTTTCTTTCAATTTTCAAATCGAATTTCTAACCATTTTTCACATATTGTTAGTAAGAACGATCGTAAACCTTAAACAGGTGTTTTTTTTTATTTTGCATTAAAAACACAACTTGAAAAATGTACATTCAGCGTTAAAAGTTAAGAGCTATGAATTACAAAATATAGCCATAATGCTTGTCCGTATGCATACTTGCTTGTGTATGTGTGTGTGTGTGAGTCTGTTGTTAACCTGAGTAAAAGTCCAGTTGAATGCGAGTCGTATACTTGCATTACACTGGCCCGCAATGAAGTGGTGAACGAGGAAGGGCAGGGAAGGAGTGGGATTGTAGAAAAAAATGTCATTACAAATAATAAATCAAGTGTTCTACATATTAAGAAACAATATTCAGTTTGCTAAAGAAAAACAACTTCGTCAGTGTCAACGATGGCGTCGCTCCCGGTCCCGCTCCCGGTCCCGTTCACGATCCCGCTCACGGTCACGGTCACGGTCCCGGTCCCGATCGCGCTCCCGTTCCCTTTCCCTATCCCTATCACGCTCCCGCTCCCGCTCTCGATCGCGCTCCCTATCCTTATCCTTCTCGCGTTCATCGTTATGATCGTTGTACCGATGACGGCTGCCACGCTCCTCGCGTTTGCGATCGTGACGATGACGACTCTTGCTGCGGCTGCGACTGCGGCTTCGCGAGTTTTGTCTGTGCTTGTGCTTCTTCTTGTGCTTGCTGCTGCGACGCCGCTCGACACGATCGCCGCGGTCGCCCCGCTCCCCATAGTCCTTCTCGCGCTCGACATGGCCATACGGCAGCATCGAGGAGGCTAGCGCCGGCGGTGGGTAATCGTCGTAGCAGCGACTGCGGCCATACGATGACCCAGATGCTGGCGCTCCATAGTAGTCGCGATCGTCATGATCATTACGATAGTTGGCAGGCGGATAGCCACCTCCGCCGGAACGTGCCGCACCATGGCCACGCCCACCGCCTTCATAGTCATCACAGCCTGTCGCCACGGCTGCGGCAGAGCCGAGCGCAGCTGCCGCCGCACCGTTGCCCCGACCCGTGCTCAGCTGGCTGATCGTGATACCCTGCTCCCGGCAGTATTGCTCGATCCGCTTCTCGATCTGCTTCTGTATAGGCACGGGAATGCGCGGAAAGAGCGTGGAGAACCAGTCCAGCTTTGTCATGAACTGATATACCATCTGGCCAATAGTCATCACCTGGACGGGCACACACCGAGAAGCGAATAGAGAATGTTGATTAGTCGAATGTGTACGCGATTGCAGAATTGAAGGAATTCGTTGTGCATATTGATTGGTGGCTCATACAGTTGACTCACCTGGCCGCCGCCCGCTTTGACGTCGATCTCCTCTTCGTCTTGCAGATAATCCTCGTACCAGTCATACAAGTCTCCCGGCGGCTGCGTATAGCGTAAGTACATAAAACCTAAAGACAATTGACACAAAAACCACAATTACTTATTAGTGAGCACACACACACAGTCATAAATAAGAAGAGGATAGCACGCAGCTCAGCGAGATCATAATTAGTATTAATTGAGTTTGTAATAAGGAAAAATACTATCGAAGAGTGAACTAACCCAACACGTATATGACTAATATATATGGTATAACTAATGTTCATACATATTCAATATATATAACATAATGCAAAGATTTATCTATTATGAAGATCAAATTGGTGAGCTATTGGCAAACTTTGGAACACTGTATTTAAGCGAATCTAGGGTATACTGTATATGCCATATGGCATCGCAAATCATGGTTATAATATAACATAAACATATTTGTATACAATATCATGGTATAACTATCAGTGTTCAATTATTCTCAATAAAAATATGATAACTTTATATTGTTTATGATATAAACACGTCTATGAATTTGATTGCAATTCTAAGAAAATAATAAAAATTGATATGTTGAAACTCAACTGGATCAAATGAGCTGCGTACTGACTGACATAGATAGAGGGAGAGTGGGACAGATAAAGACGCGGGTGGAGCAGGAGCAAGCAACGAGTGAGACACGGCTGAACTCATGCGACTTACCAACCACCTACCTAGTGCCCGAATGTAGGCTGAGTCTGTATGGTTGAGTAGTCCGTTCACTTGCTTGCGCGTCAGACGGAGCGTGTAGAGCTTGTAGAGCAGACAGTAGGCGGTGGATACGATGCCGCCTGCGCCAACACCGCGTACCTGCAAACGAAAAGCATTAGCATATCGTGCTGCACTTGTCACTTTAATCAACGGATTAAATATTATCGCCAACGATTAGCGCTACATTTCATAAACTCACACCGCCGCACATGCCCGTCTGGCCGGAGGTCTTGCGCGAGCCACGCTCCCAGGGCTCCATGTGCTTGACTTGGTAGTAGATCTCGTCGACGACCTCATGGTATGTTTTCAGCTTGAATAGATGAACTGTGCGGGCGAAAGCAACAACAAATTGTATATCTCTCGTGCCTCTGTTTTTCTTTTTTGTTTTTTGGCGGGTAAATTTTGGTTAGTTTGGCTTACCTTTAAAATAGCTGGAGCTCTGTATGTTGGCCAAAATCAGGGGATTGAGGTTCATTGAGGTCTCATTGCCCCACAGTGGCAGCGTATTGTGCTGTTTGCCAGCACCGGCCTTTTTGCCGCCGGCGCCACCGGCGGAAGACGCCGTTGAATATTCTAATAGAGCAACAGCAAGCGAGCATTGAAGACGCCGCGAAAGAGACAGAAAGATATACACACAAGTTCAGATGAATTTAATGGGATTGTTGAGCCAAAGTGGAATGCCCAGGACGGGCGCACACTACCTTACCTTCGTCCATGACTCCAGTTTAGATATTAGTGTTAATATTGTGCATTAATTTTGCACATTTAAGTGACTTTTTTGGCCGAGCAATCTGAAACTGCAAACGTTTGCGTACAGCGAAAATATCAATGTGTGTTGGTCAGCAAAATTAGGGATGCTAGAAACCCAAGTCGATAAGTTTAAGAACGACCACTATCGATACAAGTGAAATGTGATTCGTGTGCGCATATCAAACTATTGTATATGAAATCATATAAAGTGTACATGCCATTAGCTTATTTGGAAAGTTAAGAAATAATTTAATGGAGACTCGCACCAAAAAATCAAGGTTCATTAAATATTTATGAATATCGATGTACCATTATCAGATGTTCTGGCGATATTTACATAAGAATGCAGTTGGTTCATTTGAATTGGTAACTCAACTGGTCTTATACGAATCTTATATTGACCCTTTTTTTTGCTAACTTAACTATTTCGCATATTGTACAGTAATATATGAAGGAAACTGTTAATTAATAATATATTTACTTAATTCGGGATGTGTGCAAGTATTAAAAATTTTCGCGCGTTTTTTATTTTTTGCAATGCGATGTATTCCGGTATATCGATAAATGTCCCGCTTGAGCTGCTTCACGACTTGCACAATCGAGCTAGCTCAGAACTTGAATTTATCGGCTCCAAAATATACGCAACGCAGCAGCTGCAGCAGCAGAAGCAGCAGCAGAAGAAGCAGAGGCAGCAGCAGCAGAAGTAGAAGCAGAAGCAGAATCAGCAGTAGAAGAAGAAACAGCATCCGCGGACTGCGTTTTAATCAATTAAAAGTCGGGCGAGTGAAAAAATGCAGCCGCTGGCTGCCAGCAGCAGCCGTTGCCTCTCAGCTGGTAGTGTTTGTGCTTGTGCATTTAGATGTGGAAGCGGATGCGAACGTGGGTGTCAACCAGTGTCAATCGAGCAAATTCTGAACGCAAGCGCAAAACAAACAACTGACCAAAACTAATAATCAAAGCAAAAATAGCAGCAGCAGCAGCAGCAGCCGCAGCCGCAACAAAGTTCAGGGTCAGGGTCATGGTCAGGCAGCTGTAGGAGCTGAGGTGTTAAAGTTGTCAAACGAATCACCTGGACGCAGGTGAGCGCCATTTGGAGTCGTCGCCGCCATGTCGACCGACTCATCGCCGGAGAGCGACAGCGAAGTCTACGATCCGCTTGCCGACGAGCTTCACAATGTCCAGCTGGTCATCCATGTGACGAGGGAGAACATCGACGCATTGAATGCGAAATTCGCCAACCTTCAGGAGCCGCCAGCTATGTACTTAACAGGTGGATTCTCAATACCCAACGCACTCTCACAATTGCTCACTGCCGATTTCCCTTCTTTCTTTCCTCGTATAGAATACCAGGAGCTGACGTCCAAGCTGCACGAGCTGAAGGCCAAGGAGCATGAGTTAATGGAGCAATTGAATGCTCTGCAACAGGACGACGATTCCAAGAGCCAAAGCCAAAGTGAGGCCAAACAGCAACAACAACAGCAGCAGCAGCAACAACAGTCGGCATTAGGTGCGGATCGCACGGATCAGCCACACTATCAAAACCAAACGCAAATCCTCCAGCAACAGCGCCAGCTGGCCAGGCACGCTCACGAGCAGACGCCGGGCGAGACCGGGTCGGGCAGCCAGTGCGGCACCCTGACCCGGCAGCCAAAGGTGCTGCTGCGCGCCCATCTGCCCAACCAGCAGCGCACCTCCGTCGAGGTGGTGGCTGGGACTCGGCTGTGCGATGCACTGATGAAGGCGCTCACGCTGCGCCAGCTGGAGCCGTTCATGTGCGAGGTGAGCACGACGCCGCATAGCGGCCGACATATCATACCGTGGAACACGGACATTGGGACGCTCCACGTGGAGGAGATCTATGTGCGGCTGCTGGACAAGTTCCCGCTGGGGCCGCACATCAAGCACCAGTTCATACGCAAAACCTTCTTCTCGATCGTCTTCTGTGAGGGCTGCCGTCGGCTGCTCTTCACGGGCTTCTATTGCAGCCAGTGCAACTTCCGGTTCCATCAGCGCTGCGCCGGCCGCGTGCCCATGCTCTGCCAGCCCTTCTCCGTGGACAGCTACTACGAGCGCCTGCTGTCATCGTATCCGGAGAACTCGGTGGGTTTGCCCGTGGGTCGCAGCAATGCTGTCCGCTTCAATGTGAGTAGCCGTCGCTGCAGCAGCAGCGGCAGCAGCAGCACCGCCACGACCACAACCACAACAACCACCAACAACAGCAGCTCTAAACCTTCTGCCAACCGACAGGGCCGACCGCCGCGCATCAGCCAGGACGACCGCTCCAACTCGGCGCCCAATGTCTGCATCAACAGCATCCGCCCGCTGACCAACGACACGCAGCGCAGCCTCATCATGCAAGCCAGACCCCCATTGCCGGTAAGTGGATGTCGAGCACCTAGAGATGGCCAGCATATGCTGGTGGATAACTCTAGAGGGGCTACCTATCTATATATAATCTGAATAACCCATTGATATCTGGGTACGACTAGACTCTAGCCAGATTTCAGTTGACCATTGCTTGTTGAATTCCCTAAAGGATGTCAATGTGAGGGTACGTCCTAGCTGGCTAAGAGACAATACAATGATAGATATCTATGTAGAAGCCATTTGACTGACTGAACATGAAGTGAAAGATCTGTAGTGGACCATTTATCCGATACTACAAAGTCAAGTATATCGTCTTTTAACCTCACTCTGTCTCTTTTTTCGGTAATGCTGGATATTAGACTTTGGGTTCATCAGGATATAAAGACTTCAACCTTAGTTCAAACTCAATTTATAATTTATTGTAGCTCCTAAATTCACTTGCGTGGGTGAAATATAGGTGCAACTGATTCGATCAAAGTTGTTTATGCTGAAGCTATAAAAAGTTGAATGGATTTCAATTCAAAACTAACTTTATAATATATAAAAATAGTATAGAAATGAGCTCCACTTTTATCATTTGCTGCTCTCATTAATTATAAACAAAGTGTGAAAGAATTCCACTTAAACTGTCTATAGAACTCTATGAGGCTTATCGTTAAACCATTCCATACAATATTGCTTTTACTGGATCGTAAAGGAATTTCCCTTACAAGTGTAGTTTGTCGATAGATATTTGCCAAGTGAGAGAGAATTCCATTTATACCCTATCAAAAAGTATCACAAACGTATATAAAGTCTTGTGAAAGTAATGCCAAATGGAATAGAATCTGTAATGGATGTCATGGGATTACGAATACAAAAGAGTTCTGGGGTGAGTGGGAAATAGGTGGAAGGTTGAGCGGATAGGAATAGAGAGTATATAACATTTATTTGGCTTGGATCTGTTTACTAACACACGTGATTTTTGTTTTTGTTTTATGTTGCTCGCTTTTTGGTTTTATTCCGCGCTCTTCTCCTCTTTCTCTCTTTTTTTTTTTTGTTTCTGTTTCTCCTTCTCTGTTTGCCCCATTGCAGCATCCATGCACGGATCATTCGAACTCGACGCAATCGTCGCCCACCAGCACGCTGAAGCACAATCGACCCCGGGCCAGATCCGCCGACGAGAGCAACAAGAATCTGCTCTCGCGTGATGCCAAGAACTCGGAAGAGAATTGGGTGAGCTGCAGTGTAGCGATGCCGTGTAGATCCGAGATCTAGCTAATCTGAATTCGATTTTGGTATATATTCGCGTATAGAACATCCAAGCAGAGGAGATCTTGATTGGGCCACGCATCGGCTCGGGCTCGTTTGGAACAGTCTATCGCGCCCATTGGCATGGACCCGTTGCGGTGAAGACGCTCAAGGTGAAGACGCCGAGCCCGGCCCAGCTGCAGGCGTTCAAGAACGAGGTGGCCATGCTGAAGAAGACGCGCCACTGCAACATTCTGCTGTTCATGGGCTGCGTCTCGAAGCCCTCGCTGGCCATAGTCACCCAGTGGTGCGAAGGCAGCAGCCTCTACAAGCACGTCCATGTCAACGAGACGAAGTTCAAGCTGAACACCCTCATCGACATTGGCAGGCAGGTGGCTCAGGGCATGGACTATCTGCATGCGAAGAATATAATACACAGGTGCGTCACTGGAATATATGATATAATACAATACATGGAAACTAACTATCGCCCCGCTATTCCCGATCTCTCTTTATCCACGCATAGGGATCTCAAGACGAACAACATTTTCCTGCACGAGGATCTGTCCGTGAAGATTGGCGATTTCGGCCTGGCCACCGCCAAGACGCGCTGGTCGGGCGAGAAGCAAGCGAATCAGCCAACGGGCAGCATTTTGTGGATGGCACCGGAGGTGATACGCATGCAGGAACAGAATCCCTATTCCTTTCAATCAGATGTCTACGCGTTCGGCATAGTCATGTACGAGCTGCTGGCCGAGTGCCTGCCCTATCGCAACATCAGCAACAAGGATCAGATTCTGTTTATGGTCGGACGCGGTCTGCTGCGTCCCGACATGACCCAGGTGCGATCCGATGCACCGCAGGCGCTGAAACGTCTCTCCGAGGACTGCATCAAATACAATCCCAAGGAGCGACCGCTGTTTCGGCCTCTGCTCAACATGCTGGAGAATATGCTCCGCACATTGCCCAAGATTCATCGCAGTGCCAGCGAACCGAATCTAACCCAATCCCAGCTGCAGAACGATGACTTCCTCTACATGTGCCCCAGTCCCAAGACGCCGGTCAACTACAATAACTTTCAGTTCTACAACAGCGCGGGCAACATCTAAGAGGATATAAGTTGAGCTAGGAAGGAGTTGGATGGAGATGGAAGGACGAGGATGACGATGACGATGACGATGAGGAGGAGGAGGCTGTACCTGTACTTACTATGAATGGAACGCATGAAACAAATGCTTCAAGGCCACACTAAGCAGGAGAGAGAGCGGGAGAGGAGTATGGAATCTGAATGTGAGCAGGACAAGAGATTAGCGCTCTCTCGCTCTTCCTTGTCGTCTCTTTTCGCTGCTTTACTTTGAGCTTAGCCTGAAGCAACTGAACGCGAGAGAGAGGGAGACAAGATTAGCTGTCTCGCTCTGCCCGACAACTGCTCGGCCTGAGGCAACTTCTAATGTGCATTTCTGTTATCATTTAAACAAACGCAAAAACAACCACGACTATTATTGTAAACTAACTAAAGTGAAACGCGCATATGTACATACATCTAAATATATATATATACACACACACAAACAGACACACTCACACACACTTACGTTAGGGATCTACTACTAAAAAATGAGAAATAATAAGAGAAACTACATTATAAACAATATACTACTTATTACTATAAAGAACAATCATGTTTTATTTATTTATTTATACATAATTATATATATCCTTTGTACAGTTAAACGTAACGGCTGGCTATGGCCAGGACTTTCGTGTAGTCGGCGCCCTTGGCCAACGTCTTCTCCTTCAGTATGGTCCGCAGCACCGTGGGAATGGGCACGTGGATGCGTGTGCCCAGCGGGGAGCCGTTGTCGTCGATGAGCACCAGATTGTTGCTGTCGAACTGGGGCTGCTTTATGCGCTGCTTCTGCTTGAGGCCGACCAGGATGCCCTTCTTCATCTGGCCCTTGATGGCCACCAGCACCTTGTCGCCGATCAGGCCAACGCCCCGCTTGTTGTACACATGGATGCATCGCGGTGGCCGACCCTCGGCCATGGCACGCTTGCCCAGGTCGCTGTTGTCCACCACGCGCAGTCGAGCCAGTTTCCTAATCTCGCAGCATGCCGGCGTTGTGTGCAGCTGACAGCTGCCGGGCTCGGCGCTTGTCCCTGTGATGGAGCTGCAGCTGGTGCCTTTTGTTAAGAGCGCCGCATTACCGGCTCGTGTGAAGTTTCTCAGCAGGATTTGAGCCATTGCTCCAAAAGTTTTCGACTTGCCCGTTGCTGATTTTCAGCACAACAAATAAAATTATACAATGCCTATCGATACATCGATGGTCGTATGCAAGACAGCGCTGAAAGTGAACACGCATTGCGCAGCTATCGATACGTTTGTATTTTATACGATAGTAAATTGTGACATCGACAATATAAGGATTTGGGCGCGCTTTTTAAATAAACCTGTGCTGTTTTTAGATTTAATATGTATCACTATCCACTGGTTAGTGTATGTATAGACAATATTATTGTCTTATGTAAACTAGTGCACACTGGCTGTTATTTCTCAACTTCTGATGTAAATACACGATATTGTAACGTCGTAATTCTTTCGATATTCATTGGTCGAACATAAATATCGGTCTTGGTTCAGTCAGTGCTGCCAAGTAGCGTGCGGTGGTGCCCATACACTACTTCCTGTTAATTCAAAGTTAGAATTTAAAAAGTTCGTTCTTTTTTTTTTGTCATTTTATGCGTTTTATTTATTAATGTATCAATAAAATATGCACTTTAAGCGCACAGTACATATATGTATTTGTGTTCGTGTGTTTATGTATATGTGGGTGTGTGTAAATATGTATTAATAATAATTTATAAGCATAATTAGCGCTCCAATTCATGCGCGCGCCTTGCTATTTGTGCTATTAGTTGTTGGTTAAATTTTATGATTAACTTTTGTTATAGTTGCTTATGTTTTTTGACACGACTAAGTAGACCAGTCCCATTGGTTAGAAAATTGGTTACTATAATTCACTATGATATACAGAATATGATATAGACAAATATCGTTTACATTCACTTGCCTTTTCCTCTCGCATTTCTCACTTTTCTTTTCTTTTCTTTTCTTTCATTTTGTTTTGGGTTCTTGTGCTTAAAGCTAAAACAAAGTATTTTTGTTACAAAAAAAAAGTAGAGCCATACAATTACATAGTTGATAACAAGTATTAAGAATAGTTAAAAAAATTGATATATGTGTATATATAGTTATATATTCATATATATATATATATATTCTTTTGTGTTGTTATTCAAAAGCGCGCCAAACAACAAATATTGTTACTAACATTAGAAAAAAAAAATGTGCATATTGTTTGGACTTCAATGTACAAGATCGGCCAGATCTTGTTAATTATTTACATTTACACAAAAATCATAAAATGCATAAATTAAAATAAAAGCAAACAAATTAAAAGTTGCAAATCAAAATCGAAAACAGAAAAAAAAAGTTGAATTGAATTGATAACATTTTGCGCCATTCGCTTTGTGCATTTCGTTTCGGTATTTTCTATGTGTGTATTCTCTATGCTTCCTCTACTTCGCTCAGGCACGGTTCAGCTCCTCGCGCTTGAAGTTGCGTATCGCCTCGAGCAGCTGATCCCGCGGATCTGCCGACGGCGACGCTGACGTTGGCGTTGTTGCCTTCAGTTTGGGCATCGCTTTTGCCTTGCTCAGCATTGGCGGCGGGGGCGGCGGCGAGGGCGTGCCAGTGGCAGAGGCAGCAGCAGTGGGCGTGGGCGTGGCTGTCGATTTGTTGGCCATGTAACTAACGGGACGCAGCTTCACTTGCAGCGCATTTGGCGCTGGCTTTGGCTCGACTGTTTCCAGTTTCAGCTCCACTTTGGTGCTCCTCAGCTTTGGCATCAAAGGCGACGTTGGCGTTGCCGCTGGCGTTGGCGTCGCTGGCTTCACTGCTGGCGCTGTCGTTACTGCTGCCGCTGCTGGTGCCGCTGCTGCTACCGGTGCTGCTACCGGTGCTGACACTGGTGCTGGGCTTGTTGTTCCGTTCACAGAGACGCGCACGCTCAAAGCCTGCTCATGCTCCTTTTGCTCCTTGGCCAGCATGCGCTCCTTGAAGCCCGTGCGCCTCAGCGTATTCTGGCCAAAGGGCGCTGCCGCCGGCTCCACGGGCGCTGCTGGCGTCGCTACCTTCTCCAGCGTCGAAATGGGCCGTGGCAATGAATTGGTTGTCCCGCTCTTGCTGTTGCTGTTGTTGTTGTAGTTGTTGATGCTGTTGCTGTTGCTGTTGCTCTGGACACTGGCGGGCAGCGTGAAGCGATTGCTCTTCGCCGGACGTGGCAGCGTGGAGGGCTTGACCATGACCTCCTGCTGCACGGGCGGCTTCTCCTGCTCCGGCTCGGGCGACGCGCGCTCCTGCTCCTGGCTGTCGTCGCGCAGCGGCTTGACCGTGATGGGCACGTGGTATTCCTTGCGCGGAATGCCCATGCGCAGGATCGGCGAGGCCACCTCAATGGTCAGCTTGACGGGTGCCGTGGCGGGCTTTGGTGCTGTGCCGGCCCTGGCGCCGCCATAGATGTAGTCGCCCTCGTTTTTGATAGCCACCTGCGACTTGGGACGCTCGCTCCACGTGGCAAAGTTGATGCTGGGCGGGCCGGAGTAGCGATACGTCTGTGGCAGCGGCTTGGCCGCTGGCTCTGGCACCACCTCAGGCACGGGCTCTCGCTCTGGCTCGGGTTCGGGCTCAGGCTTAGGTTCGGGCTCTGTCGTTGGTGCCTCCTGCAGTGAGGCCTTGCGGGCAGTTGCAATGGGCACCGCTGCCTGGGGATTAGCTGGAGGTGTGGACACAGGTGACTCCAGTTTGCTAGCAGATGTGGGCGCAGCCACAGGCTGAGCCAGCGGCACCTTTGTAGCTATAGCCGTTGATTTCTCTGCAGGCACAGCAGTGGCCACAGCTGCAGTGACAGCTGACGGTGCGGATGTAGCGTCAGCTGCGGGCTCGACTGTCGGAACAGGCACCGGCACCGGCACAGCCTCTTTAGCTACGGATGTGTGCTCATTTGTGTGGGACACGACTGTGCTGACAGGCACGGCCTTAGGCGTCACTATGGTTGGGGACGCCACTGTGGACTCAAGTGGACTTGCAGGCGTGGTCAGGTCCATTGACACCGGCTTGGCTGTGGGCGACGCAGTCGATCTGCTCTTTGGTTTCTCAGACTCAGCCAGTTGGGATTGTCGCGCCTCTGTGGAGTCGGCGGCATCTGTGGCCAGGCTGTTCTTGCGCGAGTTGCTCAATATGGTCTTGATGAGCTCGAGGCTCTGGAGCGAGGGCGACTCGCCAATGCTCAGCTCGCTGGACGAGCGCCGCTGCTGCAGGCCGCCATTCAGGCCGTTCAGCTCTAGCCGGTTGAGCGACAGCTGCGAGGAGCTGCGCAGGCGCATGCCCAGGGACGAGCCGTTGTGGCTGTGCCTGGGCGACTGAAAGGAGTCGGTGCGTGTGATGGTTGGGGAACTGCTGCTGCTGCTGTTGTTGCTGTTGTTGCTGTTGTTGCTACTGTTGTTGCTGTTGTTGCTGCTGTTGCGCTTGTTGCTCGATCCGTTGCTAATTGATGCGATGCTAAAGTTGGCCAGCCGGTTGGGCTTGGCCGCTTCGATCTGCTGCGGCTGCTCGGGCGCCTGCCGGATGAGCGTGTCCAGCCGCTGCTGCTGTATGATCGAGGACAGCTCGTTGACCACTTCGCTGCTCTTGGGCCGCTGTCGGTCCGCGAACTGCGCGCTGTCCGAGAAGTCCGGGGGCGGCGATATGGGACCCGCATAGTTCCAGGAGGACAGCGAAGTCAGCTCGCTGTTCGGGCTGCTGGGCGTCTGGGCCAGAGGCGTGTCGGAGAGGGGCGAGGGCTGCTCATCGGCCGCCGTCTCCAGCTGCTGGGCGCTCAGCACCAGTTCCTTGACCTTGACGGAGCTCTTGCAGGACGTCTTAAAGTTGTACACCTTGATGGCCTCGTCGTCCTCCTCCGAGCTGGACTCGAGCTGCGCTTTGTGGTCTGCCAGAGGCTGCACCTCCGGCTCGGGCGAGGGCGAGCTGGAGGGCAGCGGCGAGGGCACTGGCTCGCCAATGCCCGAGTCCGCCTGCTTGGAGGCCGTATCGTTGTTGTCCTCCTCCTCCTCCGTGGCGCTGCCCAGCGAGCGGGGCTCCGGCGTGGGCGTGCGGTTCAACAGCACCTTGGACACATTCTGGCTGCCATTGCTCAGCATCTGGGGCGCTGCTGTAGTGGGCAGTGCAGGAGGCACTGCCTCCGACTCCTGCTGCTGCTGCTGCACTCTTGGTGCTGTCGATGTGGCCACTGGAACGGGCGTGGTAATCCTCGGCGCTGGCTGCGGTATTGCCGGCAGCACTTCCGTCATGGACACCGTCGTGGAGGAGGCCAGTGATATGGTGTCTGCAGCCGCAGTCGCTGCCTCAGCTCCCGCCTCAGCTGCCGGTCCCGGCGACTCTGGAGGCGGTGCTGGCGCCGTCTTCTTCTTCAGCTGCAGCAGACGTTTGCGCGGCGTCGGCTCCGGCAAAGCCTGCGAGTAGGGCCTGCGCTCCAGCGTGGCATAGTGTCCGCCATCCAGGGTCTTGGCGCTGTTGCCATTGCAGTCCACCTCAAACGACGGCTGCGTCTCCGCTTCCGTTGCATGCTCCGGCGTGCTGGCCAAGTTGGGCGTGGACATGCACAGCTGTGGACGCTTCACAATGACCGCATAGGCGGGCTCCGTTGGAGTTGGCGCCGGCGTCGCCGTCGGCGTCGGCGTCTCGTTAAACTGCGCTACGGACTGCTCCGGTATGGCCACCTGGCTGGGTGGGCGTGGCGCCACGCGCTTCTTGCGCGGCGGCGGTGCTACGGATAGCGCCTTGGGCGGCACCACGGGTGTGCGCGTGTAGTTCATGCCCGTGGAGTCCATGGAGTTGAGTGAGTTGCTCGAGCTGTACGGACTGGGCGTCTTGGCCGTCAGCTTGGAGTGCGAGTGCCGGCTGCTGCTGAACTCGGAGCTGCTGCTCAGCGAATCCCGAGTGCCGCCCGTCCGCTGAAACTTGAGCATGGAGTCCGCATTGAAGCTGTCGTAGGACTCCGACTTGTGGCACAAACGTATCTCCGACAGACCCACTGCTCCGATGCTTGACTCGCAGCTGTACACCTGACTAGCATCCACTGTCGGAAGAGAGAGAGAAAGAGAAAGAGAGAGATTGATTAGTTGAAGCTCCTTTGTCGCTCAAATATAACTTATTCTATTCAACTAATGGAGATTTTCACAATATGTGCTAGAGGTAGTGCTGGTAGTGCACCGCTTTAAATATGATTTTTAAAGGTTTGACAGAAGTTGGAAGAACAGCTGTGAGTTGCCTAATCAAACGGACTAACTTTTATGGGTACAAAAACTGGGCTCGTCTTAGTAGAACTTCCTAGGGCTTTCGTAACTCACACTATATATAATTACATATACCCTAAGGCGTGACGATTTTTAATTGAGTAAAGATCTTTATCATAAGCACTTTCAAGCGGGGCAAAGATAAGATACGATTCTTTAGAGTAACCCTAGATACTACAATTAAGAAAAGCAAAAGCAAGGATTTTTTCCGGAGTCAATACAAAGGACTTTCTTTATGACTATCAAGCCCAGAATCGTGCACCATTTCTTTATTACTCTATAAGACTATCGAAATGATTATCATCCATCGATCTATAGATTGTTGGTGGTTCGACGATTCATAGTTAACAGGATTTGAGATTCAGCTAGCTGTGGCATTTAAACTTCAATCCACTACATATGTTTGGTAACTTCAATTGAAGCTTCTCGAATGCCTGTAATACATCAATATTCTGATAAGCACAAGCAAAGCCTAGCTGGATTATCTCTCGACACATTCCCTCAGATATTTGCGACTCTCCTCTTATATATTCAACAAATTATTCTACTCTACTCTACTGGATGTGATCGATATATCGCTTTCAGATCAGGCTCACCTGGATTGCGGAACTCATATTTATCGGGATCCAGCTGTTTGTTGTCGCAGACCAGGGAGAGCAGCTTGCTGAGTGGCACACGGGCGCCCAGTCGGGTCACATAGAGCTGATCTTTGGGCAGGAGCACGGTGATGCGGAAGGTCTGCTCGAACGGTGCGTTGCTGGTGGCTGCGGGCAGAGGGGTGATGCGATTGTAATCCAGCTGACTAGCCTCGTTGATGTGAATGCCCTGGTCTGTGGACATGTGGTGCAGCTGTGTGGTTGACTTTGACAGCTTGCCGTTGGCGCTGCCCACGCCCGATTTGTCTGCAAGAGGGAGAGAAGAGAGGGAAAGAGAGAGTAAGCTATGATCAGTTCTACTGGGATATTAGCTAGCTGGAAAGACTTACCCTTTTTGCGGCCAAACCAGCGATTGAGTGTTGTGAAGCCGCCCTTCATGCTGCTCATGTTGGGGCGTGGCTCGCTCGCTCGCTCACTTGCTGTCACACTCTCTGACTTCCTCTCCCGTTCGCTCGCTCTCTCTCTCTATATATATAGACTTTTGACTCTTTCTCGTTCAGGTTGTGTAGTGAATTAAACTTGTTTTTCGTTTCCGTTTCCGTTTCCGTTTGTGTTTGTGTTACAACTGTTTGTTGATTTCTTCTCTTCTTCTTCTTGTTGTTGGTGCTGATAATTGATTGATCGATCGATTAATCGATTATTGCTATGATCGCTGTTGTTGTTGCTCCAATACGCCCCTCTCTAGAATGTTTCGTAATATTTCTGAAGCATAATACAAAATGGCGTGCGATTTGTGCGCTGCGAAATCTGCAAGTAAAAAATCATTCGAATGCCTGATTACGATTACGTTCAAAGAAAACGAATACAAAAGTTTGAAAAGAACTATGCCAAGACGCCAGCGCTCTTATCAGAGGGAGGCAAGAGAGAGAGAGAGAGAGAGAACGAGCCAAAACCAATGGCTTGATAACAGGTATCTCTTCTGTCCTCTCCTCCGTTCTCCCCTTTCCAGTTTCCATAGAGAGCATGAGCCGCCATACGCGCATTCCTTGTGTAATGAATGGCTTTCTTATCGTCCCACGCACACACAAATACACACACACACACACACTCACGCATACTAGGTAAGTTCTGATAGCCTTTGGATGTGCTTATGTCAGCTAGATAAGCGACGAAAGACGCATATCAGCTGGAATGCGTAAAACTAACCTCAAATGTTTGCGTCAATGCTAAAAAGACGAAAGTTATGATCGTCTCATTTGCAGATAGTCAGATGTTTATCTCAATAGCAATAGATTAAAGAAATTAACAGCTCTCAATCACAATTTCTTATTAATGCCCGTGTTAAAAGTGAGATTGTAATTTAAAGCCAAAGTTAGAGTTGAAGACAAATTAAAGTAAAGCTAATGTTAAGATTACACCTTATTGTTAAAATTGTACGTGTAACTGAAATGTAATGAAGCTCAATGACCAATTCACCATAATGGGTAACGACTAAAACTCCGACTGAATAGTAAGGTCAAATGCGTAGTTATATGCTGAAGTTCAAGTCTAAGACGCTACACAAAGCTAACGCTAAGATCAGAGTCAAAGTTTATGTGAAATGCAAAGCTAAAGTCAAAGTTAATGTCAGCTTTAAATTAAGTGAAACAAAAAAATCTTTAAAAAAAGCAAAACTCCCATCAGATTCATTGGATTGGCTCAAGCGAATACTCATTTTGGAATGCTTAGCTCGATAGAAACTTAAAATTACCTTGATAGTGGATATCTGGGGACTAGGAGGAAGGCACAACATGGCTCTTAAAAAAAAGAAGTAGCAGAGGAGTATCTATTTCAATCAATTTCAAGAGTCCCACAAAGCAAATACGCCTCTCTAGACTACCGTAGAGAGTATATTTATGCAAAGTTATCGTGATTGCCATAAAACTAAAATATCTGTTCTCAATCAATGGTCAGCTAATTGAGTGTAAACGATATAAACACATCTATGCCATCCAGATTCGAAATAAATTTGTATACTTAAGATACAAATTTGTCTGCCTATACACCCACATACATATACAGATATATATAAAATATATCAATATGCTGAGCTGAACCAAAATTAGTCTCTGTTTGACAGCGTAAATTGCGGTAAATACAATAATGCCCAGATAAACCTCGACGAATTGGCCAATTTATGGACCGTTTCGTATTGCCGAAGTCGTAAAAAATGATTGCTTCTAGAGAACAGGCGCAATCGAGTTAAAGTATTTACTGCCCCCCTCAAAAATTTGCATGCATTCATAAACAAATCAATTTATTATAATCATAAAGTTCTCAAAAGAAGATTTGTATGTGTGTGTGTGTATGGTATATAAATAAATATGCACGTGTGTGAGTGTGTGTGTGTGTTAAAAGTCGTAAGCTCACAAGAGTTTTGCTGCTTGGTAAACGATAACCGTCGATAGGCAATCAGCGATGGGCGCGTGACAATCGATAACTATTGAATCTTTTAAAATCAATTATTATCATATTAATTATTATGTTTGTGATCGTTATTTTGCTTTTAAGCTGATCTAACTATGGATATGTATGTATATATTTGTGTATTCATTTGTTTTAGTTCTTTTTGATAGTACGTAGCATAGATTAGATAATAAATGTATATTCCTTTCGGTTTCCAGGTATTTTCCGTTGTGTGACTCACTAAGTATCGGCATGTTTGCTCGTGTCACGAGCACACACATGCAGCCATCTCTATTATTAATTAGCCTGTGAAGTCAGTTGCTATTTGCATTAAGCTTAGCGCAAATTGTCCTCTAAAATAGTGAATAGCACGCTCACATCCCCAACCCCCAACCCCCACATACCCACTGGGAAACTCTGTCCAGCAGCAGGCGGCAAAAGACGTGCGCGATTTGCACGCGTCTCTTGTCGCGTACTTGGGCTAAAGTGTAGGCGGGGGTCGGGTAGGTGTTGCATGATTGGGTGATAGAGGAGGGATTGTGAAGGGGTTGGAGGTGGGAGCTCGTTTGATTGAATAATGACAATGTTCATGTGATATTATAGCCGTAAAGCTGTTGTTGTTGTCACTCATTGGCCATGCAAATTACTTGCAATTGCAGCTATAAAGGCAAAAGCAGCAACAGGAATGATAGACTTGATGCTACTCTGTGATATAGAGATATAAATGGAGAAAGAGGTGGTGTGTGAAAAAGATAGAGTGGGCGATGAATAGAGAGAGAACGAAGAGACAGAGCATGAGAGAGCAGAAGAAAGAGGTAGAGGTAGGTAGGTAGGTAGGTAGGAATTAAGAGAAAATTAAGTCTAAGAATGAATAGACAGAGGGGTAAGAGGGTGAGCATTGAAATAAGAGAAAGAAATACACGCTAAGATAGACAGAAGAAAACGAAATGGGGAGGGAAAGAGAAGAAAGTTTAGAAGAACTGAGAGAGGGAGAGAGAGTGATAGAGAGAGATAGACTGAGAAGAAAAGAGGAACACAAAAGGAAGATAGATTGAGGAAAATAAATATAAATATTAAAATATATACTATACATTATATAGATAAGAGATAGAGCGAGAGAGAGATAGAAAGAGAGAGAGAGAGAAATAGAGAAAGAGAAAGTGTGAGAGATGGAGGAAGAGAGATTAATGCTTATGCGTATTAGACAGTAAAAATCCCTGTTATACCCATCTGGATAACAACAATACTGCATAAGCGATAACTAGAAAGAGCAATAGTTCGCTGTCACATACTGACCGTCAAATGTGGCATACCCTCTCTCTCTCTCTCTCTCTCTCTCTCTCTCTCTCTCTCTGTTGATCTGCATGTATGTACATGCATGCAATTGTTGTGGGGTAGCTTTACTAACCGCATAGTTTTACATGCATGTGTATGTGTATGTATGTATGTACGTGTGTGTAATTGAGACACGTGCCCGGCTTGCAACTGAAATCTGTCCTACACACACACTGACACTCACACACACACACATGCACAGCCCCCCTCGCTTAGGTTGAGCACCTTGAGGCATCTGTAAATCGATTTGACTGCGACGAGCTGAGCCACTAATTAGCCCCCCTATTAGCCAGGCTAATTAAGCTTTACTCACTGTTTAGCTATTTGCTCGAGTTGTTATTTTCAATGCTTTGAGAAATGGAACCGGGCAAAACCTTTTCCAAACAAAAATCGCCTAGAACATTATTTCTGCTTTATCAATTTTTTCAGCTCTTTTGGCTATTAAAGCAACACAAGTGTTTGTGTGTATGAGAAGGAGAGAGAGAGAGAGTGAGAGAGAGGGAGAGAGAGTCAGTTTATAGTCAGTTAGTTAAACTTGAAATAAATATGAGTAAGAAAAAATTCCTCGGCTATCAAAGCGACTAAAGGCGACGTATACAATTTTTTCTTTAAAATCATCACGTTCCATATACATACATGAAAAAAAAAAAAAATACAAATACAAATACATATATACATATTCGTATATTTAAAACTAAACGCTCTTCAATTAGTCAACTCATAGAATTTGGTTAAGAGGAAACCGGATATTATAATATTTACGCTCTATCCAACCAGTTGATTTGCTAACTATCAATATCTACTTATCGTATCATACACACCGACATATACTGTCACACGTCTGCTATATCTTTATAGTGGCTGATTCGAGCCGCAATTATCAGCAGTCGAAAGTCGCTCATTCATAAACAACACAATCATATACTACGATATATAGGTGTCTATATGTTAATACACATACTGCACACAGACAGCAGATGATATAGCAGTATTCAGTTTGCAATTAGGTATTGACAGAGTAAACGCAATTCGAATGTTGTCCCATCATTAAGTGAAAACAACTTCAGCTTCGTATGCTAATTCAGATATATAGATTAGATGTTTACTCGTCTATATATATATACATATATTGGTATGCGTTTATCTTTATTGAAACGACTATAAGGCAATGTGCAATACAGCTTATCTCAATAGTTGATAAACTAAGAAAAGAGTCGAGTAATGTTGCTCGAGAAACACTTGCGAATGACGCACAAAGAAGAGAGAAGTAGAAGGGCGGAGCGGAATTACGGATCTGACGATATATATCCTAAAAGAATTTAATGAATAGAAGGGAAGAATGGATCAGCATTTGCAAAGGAGTTTACGAATGTCTAGCCTATGGGGAACTATATTAGGGAAAGCATTCAAGGACACGAATTACAGATCTGCATATAGATTGCTCGTAGGTAAATGAGAGGAAACATTTAAGAATAACGCAAAAAGAGAAAGAAAGAATCCTCAGAGAGTGAAAGAGTGGAGAGCTATCGAAACTATATGCTATTCGCTAGATTTGACTTATAACCGAAAGGCAGCTGTAATGGAGCTATATCAGTGAGAGAAAACACTTCGGGATATCTCCACAAATTTAGGCTCAATTAATATTTCTCAGAGAGCGGGACTTTGAACTACAGAGGTTATATGGAATTTCATAGAGCTTAGTTCACATCATCTTCTATATTCCTGATCGTATGCTCTCAGAATATCTATAGATGTGTGGCTGACTGCCTGATGGAGCTCTGATGTCACATAATTATCAAATCAAAGCCAAGCCACTGCCAGCTGTGAGTGGCTAAGCGCCAAGTTAAAAGCCAAGTCACGTAGCCTATTAAGAATTCTATTTCTATTTATAAGCGCACAGCCATTTCTATAATATATAGAATATATAGTATAAGAGCGATTGGAATTTGCGTAATATGCCCGTTTCTAACTATATAATGAGGATGACCTTTCATCCATTAATGATACTAACGACGTTAGGATTGGTTGTTCTGCCGTACATACAAATATAGTTGTTGGACCTTTTTATAAATAAACATGTATATGGATATATGTATGTAGGTACATCTGTTCAGATTATGAATATTTATAGGGGTTGCCATGAGTTACCGTTATAGCTGGCAATCAAATTGGCAACTTTCTACCGTTATGCATTGACCATTATTATTGTGTGCCTTAAAAATTATAGCATATATGTATGTGCGACGTTCCATTTCCCCAATCGCTAATAAACCGAATCAGAAGTACAAACATACAAAAAAAAATTAAATAGAAATAAAAAACAAGGTAAACCACAATGAAATATCCCAAGAAACAGCAACAACAACAATAACGGGTATGTGATTGATGATTAATCGGGGCTTAGGAATAACTGATTGCATCTGCATACACCTGTACATAACTCACACACAATTACACACACATATACACACATATGTATTGTGTATTATATCATTTATGGATATTGGGAATTTCATGTGAGTTTCTGCCTTCTGAGTTTTTGTTTTTTATTGTTTTCAGATACATTGTGCAATGCATGCGACATTGGCATTGGCATTGCAACTGTGGAGGGAACGGGGAACAGGGAGTTGGAGGGGTGAGGGGTGCTGTAGATAGAGCTGAGACTGATCCAAACTTAGGCGATGATATCACATGCGGCGACGTGCGGCAATTTTTATTGGATGCTCATCATTGTGTATTACCCTAGCCGAGGGTATTCGCATTTTAACACGAAGTCAACAACTTTTACTGCATGCAAAGCATAGTATATGGTATAAATGCATATAGCGATATATATATCGATAATTGATGACAATAGCATATACATTTTGTATATTCATATGTTAAAACCGATTCAAGGTTGACTTTTGAATGTGATTATGGCCGAATATGTCATCGATCTTATACATATATATATAAATGTATGCTTGAAGTTATATGTATGTATGCATAAAGGGGTTATGTGACGATCTTCGTATAAATATTTATCTATAAATATAAAGCAGAGATTGTAGATGGACTGCAAAGCCTAAATATAATGTTCCCAGAAATATGTAAAGCTATGAAACTGGTTGGTTAAGCAGCATAAGCTCGTAGATAAATCCTAGTCACTCCTTACGCAACTACTGCTATTGCTATATAGTTATTACTATACTATTTGGTGTAAAGATTTCTAGCTCCAAGTACATTTCAACTGAAGGTAACTTTAAAGATGTGAAAAAATAAAGCTATATCTGTATATCTATATACATATAATCATAAGTTGGCCTTATAGATTAGAGTATTATATATTCGTTGTTTTTTAAGCTTATTTTGCCCATTGTTTCGATGTTTTATTACTATTATTGTTCAGTCTCGTCTCAGAGGCAAACTAGTCAGTAAAGCCACAACAGCTATGCAAATTGTGCCCATATATACTATATGTATACATGATAAAGTCACCTGTAGAAAAGTGGGCACAGCGCCTTTATCTAAACAGAGACCCGAAACAGACAGCGAAAGATACAAATTGAAAAAGAAATAGAAACTAGGGGCGAGTTATCAGCCGGTTCGAGTGACTAATAGAAGAACTTATGCTAAATAACGTACAGCGGGTGTCTTTATCGCCGTATTTGCTGTTCGAGGCACTTGAATACGAATTGGCCAGCCGCCAAGAGAACTCCGGAGTGGGTCACGAGAGGTGTTCGAGGCTGGGTATTCGGCTGCAGTTAATTGTTTGGATCCGCCACTTCAGTTATCGTATTCTATACGTAGGCAGGTATAGGTAAACATTGAATAGATAATCAAGTTACATAAGCAAAGCTTCTGGCTCATGGCTGGTCTCGAGAAACGGATGAGTAAATATGGAAGAATTGTTAATAGTATTTGGCCTGGACAAACATTTTTAGCCCTTTCAGGGCGATTGCGTGGGGAGCTGATTGAGACCAGACTATATTAAGTAGATCAGAGTACGGGACTATTGAAAAGCTCATTAAATTCAATTTGATTCCCAACCGATTCAGAGAGCTGTTTAGCTTAAGTTTTGTCTACAATTATGTGTTCTACATAGGAAAAAGGTTTGATTAACTAACTAAATTGCTCTTCTCACATTTCGAGCAATTGTCTTGTTCACTCTATTGAGAGCTGTGTGATACATTTGAGGATTAGTCGTGTACAATGCCAAAACGTTTCAATTAGTCAGCGATCACTGTGCCTGATAACTTTGTAAGCCTTAAATTCCACTTGTGCACTTTTCAGCTAATAACAAACAAAAACAAAACACTCAAATTGTTTGCAAGCTAACAAAAGAGCACGAAGAATTATAAAATGTGTAATAGTGTCGCATCTAGTGCAAAGTTCTCGTCAAAAAAAAAAAAAAAACATAGCTTTAAAACTCTCACTGATTGGCAGCAAATTTGTTCCACTTAATTCTTATTAGAGTCATTCATCATTTGCCGATTGGAATTGTGGAAGCTGTCAGAATGACAATTGCCTGCCGCAGTGTTAACAACAGCAACAACAATAGCTCGCTCACTCTCTCACTCACACGCGGCAGTCTCTATGCGGCGGCCCTCTTGAGGGTCAGTTTACTTATTGGCATTTTGTTGTTGTTGGTTTTGTGTTGCTAGAACTTCACGTGCCACTTCTGTTTTCTGTTGTTTTTTTTTTGTGTTTTAATGAATGTTTCTTTTTCAGCATTGTTGTGCACTGCAGTTTTTTATTTTATTTTATTTTCATGTGCCGTTATCGTTGAACAATTTGCACGTTGCCGTAAAAACAAATATAGGCACCCACAGATATCACACAACGCACACACACAAACAAATGGAGCCCGCATTAAAGTAAATTTTAAACAAAAAACAAAAAAAAAGTGCTTAGAACTGCGTACTAACTGCGGCTAGCGGCGTATTTGCTTTGGTCTTTTCTTTACTCTTCTTTTTGCGCTCTTGCCTTTGCTTTGTTTTCTGCTGCGGACTCTCTGCTTTGGCAGCAGCGTTGCGAGGCGGCGACGACGACGACGTTAACAAAACTGAAAACAAAAAACGCGCAAAATATGCACAGAACACGAATACAACACCAATACAATAGCAAAGCACACACACACTCATGCATACACAGGCATACACACATATAGGCAGGCAATAATAGTAGCAGGCAGGCAGGCAAGCAGGCAGGCAATAATAAAGCAACGGTAACTCTCTAATAATAGCGCCAGACGGCCGCACTCCACAACGGCAACAACAAATAGGCACGCAGCAATCCAGGCAAATTGCGCGCTCTCCTCTCTTTCTCTCTTCGCTCTTTAAAGCTCTCGCACTTGCGCTCTGCACTTATTATTGCTATGGCTATTGTTATTGCTATTGTTGTTGGTGGTGCTGTTGCTCTTTGTGCTGCTGGTGCTGGTGCTGCTTCTGCTGCTGCTGTTTTATCTTATCAGCAATGAGAGCAATTGGCGCCGGCGCGGTAGAAGGAAGAGCTGCAGCTCCCAAGTGACAGTTGTTGTTGTCGCTGTCGCCGCCGAAGATGTGGCTTTGCATTGTTTACCGTTTATGCCGTGTGCTATCTTCACTTGTCGCGCTAGCTGAGCAAACTGAATCGAGTAGCTGAGCGGTAAAGCCGTGTGCGTTGCATAAGAATACAGGTGACGGCGGCGCTGTCGCTGCTACTGCTGCCGCTGCTGCCAGTGCTGATGCTTGCGCAAGCTTCTCTTTCTGACTGCGACGCTGACGACCTTCAGTCTTGCAGTCAGTGTGGGTTACGCTCTAGGTGCGCTCCCTCTAACTGCTGCTGCTGCTGCTGCTGCCGTTGCTGCCCGTGCAGAAATCTTATGCATGGGGGTTGAAAGCCTCAGGAGTGTCTTGGCACATGCGTGACCATTTTTATCGCGACATCTATTGATTGGCATTGACTAAGGAGGCCGCCTTTTGCCTCGCCTATCCCATCACACACACGCACACTCACATATGCATGTATACATGACATCATCTTTTGTTTCAGCCATCTTCATTAATTGCCGCCACGCACCAATTTTCGAGTTGCTGCCCCAAAGATGGGCATTGGCAAAAGGGGCGCGCCTAAAGACAATAGATGTTGGATGTGCGATGTTCTATGTATGTTATGCTCGATGTTTGACTGTCAGTCAAGTTAACAGCTAAATGGGCTTGGATTTCCGATTATTTAATTACGGCGTTGCCTACGTTTTAATTCCAACTCTAATAGCTCTGACAGCAAAGTGTGGGTGGGCAAATTACTTAAAGAGCCTAAAATGAAATCTGATATATCTATCGAGTGTTGATGGGCATCAAATAAAGCAGACAATGCATACAATGGTATGTGAGAGCAGAAATAATCTAAATATCTATCTATAGATATAGATATAGATATAGATATAGATATAGATATAGATATAGATATAGAT